ATGGTGAAAAACTGACTTTGAAAAATAAATCTGTTCTTTTTTCTTATAAAAGTCTAAATAAAACAAAAATATTGGTGGTAATTTTTGACTGTGTAACTTTACAAATGTCACCCCACAGGAGATGGGTTGTAGGAGGGACAGATAGCTTCAAGGAGAGTCTGGCTCAGKTTCACGGACCGTCTGTAAGCCCCTTCTTCTTTGCTATGGTGATGGACGGACTGATAGACGAGGTGAAGCAGGAGTCTCTGTGGACTGTGATGTTTCCAGATGACATCTGTGGTGGGAGACCCAGATAAGTCTGGGTTTCTCTGCTTAGGCTGCTGCCCATGTGACCCGACCCTGGATAAGCGGTAGAAAATAGATYGATGGATGGATCTGTGGTAGGAATAGAAAACAGGAGAAAGAGATCTTGAAAAGGTGGATGCATGCTCCTGAAATTAAACATAGCAAAACGGAGTGCATGCAATTTGAATGAGAGGGAGGCATGTGGAGCACTGAGGACACAAGGTCACAAAGGTCCAGGACTTCCAGAATTAACTGTCCAGGAAAACAAGGACTGTGGCAATAAGAGCGTTCACCACAGAGTGYTGTGTGATAAATGTGTGGCAGCAACGGTCAAAGGAAATATTTACAAGAGAGAAGTGAGACTAGCCATGTTGTACTGTTTGGGAACAGAACTAGACAAAAAGACAGGAGGCCGAACTGGAAGTGTCAGAGCTGAAGATGTTGAGGTTSTTGGAAGAGGACGATGGATAAAAGGTGCAGCACAGGCTGAAGAACTGGGAGATAAAGTTAGAGAGGCCAGACTGTGATTATTGGACAGAAACAGTGGGTATTATTGGTAGAATGGGGTTAGAAATGCAGCTGCTAGGAACAATAATATGAAATAATGTATGGATACACTTTGGATTTGGAGGATATGGAGGAGGAAGACTCTCTGTGGTAACCCCTGAAGAGGGAACAGACAAAAGAATAAAAAGAAAAAGAAGTTTGACCCCAACTACTTGAATAATCTTTATATTTTGTTGTTGTTTCTTTTTTACTTGCCGACCTGGAACATGTAAGGTGGACATGACACCATAGGAGTTCTTGACTTTAAAATAAAAACATGTAACATTAGTGTAGGGTTCTGTTAAAGGGATCCATGATTAGTTGTAACATTAGACTTTATTTAATAAACATATATTTTAACTGTGAAATAA